TGCGTGCTTTGAGGGTTCTCTGAAATCGTTCTACGATACTAGCTTTGGTGTCCGTATTGCGAGTGGTAAAGAAATGAATGGATTTAAAACCTTGTAAAAATTCTTGATTGGTAAATTCTTTGCCTTGATCCGATTGAATGCGGACGGGCCGTCGACCGTCTTGTTGAAAAATCTCTTGTAATCCTCGAATCATTTCTTTTCCTGTTTTCTGTTTTAAAGGCACCACCCAAGCATATTTAGATAATACGTCAATGGCACACAATAACAAGAGGCCCATTGGCCACATCGCTCACCTGAGCAGTAAGGGTAGGAAAAAGTAGAAAATGGTTTTTTATTGTAAAGTTTAAATCCAAAACTACTCCCATGACCAATCATGGATTTGCTATTTTTTTAGAAAATGATTTTTTAAAAATTTTCCTTTATATATCTTTGAAAACTTTGGTCGGCCATTTTGGCCCCGCCCTAACCCATGGGGTCATGATTTGAACAAACTTGAATCTACACTACCTGAGCATGCTTCCATATAGATATGATGAATTATGGCTTTGTCATTCTTGAGAAGAAGATTTTTAAAGAATTTTCCTATATATTTCTATGCAAAACTTTGGTTTGCCATTTTGGCCCCGCCCTACCCCCGGGGGTCATGATTTGAACAAACTTGAATCTACACTACCTGAGCATGCTTCCATATATATATGATGAATTATGGCTTTGTCATTCTTGAGAAGAAGAATTTTAAAGAATTTTCCTATATATTTCTATGCAAAACTTTGGTCGGCCATTCTGGCCCCGCCCTACCCCCGGAGGTCATGATTTGAACAAATTTGAATCTACACTACCTGAGCATGCTTCATTAAAAATATGATGAATTATGGCTTTGTCATTCTTGAGAAGAAGATTTTAAAAGAATTTTCCTATATATTTCTATGCAAAACTTTGGTCGGCCATTTAGGCCCCGCCCTACCCCCGGGGGTCATGATTTGAACAAACTTGAATCTACACTACCTGAACATGCTTCCATATATATATGATGAATTATGGCTTTGTCATTCTTGAGAAGAAGATTTTTATAGAATTTTCCTATATATTTCTATGCTAAACTTTGGTCGGCCATTCTGGCCCCGCCCTACTCCCGGGGGTCATGATTTGAAAAAAATTGAATCTACACTACCTGAGCATGCTTCCATATAAATATGATGAATTATTGCTTTGTCATTCTTGAGAAGAAGATTTTTAAAGAATTTTCCTATATATTTCTATGCAAAACTTTGGTTTGCCATTTTGGCCCTGCCCTACCCCCGGGGGTCATGATTTGAACAAACTTGAATCTACACTACCTGAGCATGCTTCCATATATATATGATGAATTATGGCTTGGTCATTCTTGAGAAGAAGATTTTTAAAGAATTTTCCTATATATTTCTATGCAAAACTTTGGTCGGCCATTCTGGCCCCGCCCTACCCCCGGGGGTCATGATTTGAACAAACTTGAATCTACACTACCTGAGGATGTTTTCATATAAATATGATGAATTATTGCTTTGTCATTTTTGAGAAGAAGATTTTAAAAAAATTTTCCTATATATTTCTATGCAAAACTTTGGTCGGCCATTTAGGCCCCGCCCTACCCCCGGGGGTCATGATTTGAACAAACTTGAATCTACACTACCTGAACATGCTTCCATATATATATGATGAATTATGGCTTTGTCATTCTTGAGAAGAAGATTTTTAAAGAATTTTCCTATATATTTCTATGCAAAACTTTGGTCGGCCATTCTGTCCCCGCCCTACTCCCGGAGGTCATGATTTGAAAAAAATTGAATCTACACTACCTGAGCATGCATCCATATAAATATGATGAATTATTGCTTTGTCATTCTTGAGAAGAAGATTTTTAAAGAATTTTCCTATATATTTCTATGTAAAACTTTGGTTTGCCATTTTGGCCCCGCCCTACCCCCGGGGGTCATGATTTGAACAAACTTGAATCTACACTAACTGAGGATGTTTCTCCATAAGTTTCATCTTTTCTGGCACAGTGGTTCTTGAGAAGAAGATTTTTAAAATATGCCACCGAATTTTCAATTATTCCCAATTATCTCCCTTTGAACGAGGGCGTGGCCCTTCATTTGAACAAACTTGAATCCCCTTTACCCAAGGATACTTTGTGGCAAGTTTGGTTGAAATTGGCCCAGCGTTTCTTGAGAAGAAGTCGAAAATGTGAAAAGTTTACAGACAGACGGACAGACAGACGGACGCCGGACAAAATGTGATCAGAAAAGCTCCCTTGAGCTTTCAGCTCAGGTGAGCTAAAAACGTATAGCCATCATTGTGTTTCTTTTAACTGGACACATCGTCTGAATCTAATTGCCATTGTTCGTCTATATCTGTCACTCTCGTTTGCTGTCTCCGGAATTTTCTGTGAATGGGTTTATGTAAGGTATACGTTTCTTGCTCTTTTAACCATTCTCGTATCTTTTTCAAGGAAAGTTGATGTCCCAGACTTCTGACCTGCTTGTATTCCCCCATACCCTCTCTTCTGATTGTAATAAATCTCTTTTAAAATGTCTTCAACTTTCTTCTTCATTTTTTAGGCAATGAAAGCCAATCTTCTTCGATTTGTTGTAATTTCTTCTTTTCTTCTTGGGCTTTTAATTGCTTTTTAATTGCTCTAAAGGGACTAAATCCGGGTGTGAATGTTTTAAGCACTCTTGATCTCTCTTCTGCAGGTCGACTAAATAGGGGTTAAAAAGGAAGAAGAAGCATCCTGAAATCCGCTCTCTTCGTCGTCGTCACTGAAGACTCCTTTAGGAGTACTGATTTTCCCTGCCAGATTTTTTCTGGATGGCTTTTATAAGGTTTTAATTTTTTTACATAGTCCATTGGAGCATGGATCTCCTTTAAAGCTTGAGCAAATTCGTCTAATTTTTTTAGGACGGGATGATTTTTCAAGGGTTTGTTTCTCATGTTTTCAGTCATTAAATCCACAATGTTAGAATCGGGTACTTTATGACATCGATAACTGATTTCTCCGTCTTTATCCTAAGTCAACACCTTGGTTTTCTTTAAATAATTTAATAACAATTCAGCTTTCCTGATCATGGGTTTATTCACGCTTTGAATGATTTGTTGATCGATCTCTGTAACTGACTTTTCTGGATCTGCTGCTGCGGGGGCTGGCTATACTGCTGCTGCTGCTGGGGCTAGGGGTGCAGGAGGTGGTGTTTTTTGAGTCGGTGGCTCTCTCGCTTTTTGTAAATAATTCCTATAGCGATGAAGTTCTTGACCATATAAATCCACTTTTTCGTCTGGGGTTAAATCTTTACGTCTTGTTATCTCGTCCAATTCCTGACCTAAGCTAAGGGTGGTTTGAAATTCTGGGGGTTTGGGTAATTTTGCTTTGAGTTCATTCAACAGAACTTCAGGCACCAAGACCATTTTACGACTCATTTTAGGAGGTCCAACAGTAAAGGGGCGGCTGCTGCTACTAAAAGAGGAAAAAAACCTCCTTTCTGCTTGACTAATAAAGCTCTTCGTCTCTGGACAGATTGGGGTCGAACCAGTCTCCTGAAGATGTGTTTCATAGGAGCTAACTTTCGTTTCTGAGCCAAATTGAGACACTTCTAAATCGCTGGCTCTTTGACTGCCTATGGTCCCCATAGTACGATCCATTCTCAGTTCTGCTTGTTTCTTTAACAACTCCTTCATCGTCTTTTGTCTTTGGTCCTTATAATACTGATTGATTTCCTGTTTCAGACTCTTGGGCATGGCTTTACGTTGAGCCAGAGTTTGAGGGGTGGATTTGGTTTTCGCTGCTTTTTTCTTTGAAACTGATTTTTTTCTTAGGAACTGTTTTTTTCTTGGGAGCTCTCTTCTTCTTTCTGCTCTTTTGAGCTGCTCCTCCTACTCGCACCATCCAATCAGGAAACACTCTTTGTTTCTTATTATCGACTCGCACTAAGACACTTATCAACCGACGAACACGTCGTTTTTAGGGCTATTCCACTTGAATAAATGATGAATGATCACTCCACCTAGAAATCCAGCTCCTCCTTGTTTTAAAATGGCATTTTTCCTATCTTGATCACTCGCCGATTTATCGACTTTGATACTTAAATCTTTGACGATGCAGTGGGTGAAAAAAGTGGTTTCCCATCATGGGAAACTTTATGGAAACCACATGGAAACCAAGTTTACATCATGTTTCCCAGTGGTTTCCGTAGCGGATGCCAGGTTATTCCGCCAAGTTTCCGTGACACGGAAACCCCCTATGCTCCGATTCCATAAGGTATCCCAAACCATGGAAACCTCTGTAAACCTGAAGTTTCCCGAACATCCATGTAGTTTCCCGTAATGGGAAACCTGAAGATTCCACTGGTTTCCAGAATCAGGAAACTTGATGGAATCGGAGCGTAGGGGGTTTCCGTGGAATGGAAACTTGGTGGAATTTTTATGTTTCCTTATACTGGAAACTACATGGAAGCTCGGGAAACCTCACGATTCCTAAAGTTTCCTCGACTCTGGAAACCATATGGAATCGGAGCGTAGTGGTTTCCGTGGAATGGAAACTTGATGGAATCTTTAGGTTTCCTTATACGGGAAACTACATGGAAGCTCGGGAAACCTCACGATTCCTAAAGTTTCCTCGACTCTGGAAACCATATGGAATATGAGCGTAGTGGTTTCCTTGGAATGGAAACTTGATGGAATCTTAAGGTTTTCTTTTATGGGAAACTACATGGAAGCTCGTGAAACCTTATGATTCCTGACGTTTCCTTGACTCAGGAAACTATATGGAACTTGTGTAGCACTTTCTGTGTGGCGGAAACTTGGTGGAATTATCTGGAGTCCCATTTCTGGGAAACTTCAAGATTCCCTAACTTTTCTAAAGGAAGCAATGTGAAATATTGCGTATTGTTTTAAAAATCTATCAAAAAAATTTATTACATGTAAAAGGGAAAAGCATTACCATTTTATATGTTTAATAAATCATTTGATGTACAAAAACTGTAACTGAATTTTTCAATGATATCAAAATATTAAATAAATTCATATATCTTAGATAAACAATGGAACAGTCTTTCACATTTAAGTCCATTCATAAGGGTCATTAAGTACTTCTTTCAACATCAGTTTCCTGGTTTTCTTCACATCACCTATGATCTGCAATATTCATACAAAATTATTATATGATGTCAGAAGTATAATGCTTGAATAAAACTTAGAAATCTGAAAGATCAGTCAATGTCCTTTAATATACAATATCAATAATTATTTTCCATGACCATGATACATATGATTTCAGCATTTAATGTATCTCTTTAAAATTTAATTCTTTATGATAAGTGAAAAAAAATAACATAATATAAATAATGTTTTCAGCCTGATTATGTCTTTGAGAATATATTACTACATGTATCTCATACTAAGAACCCTGCTTTAAGTTTGATTAGGTTGAGAGAAAACATACCCTTTATAATAACAAAAATATTAGGGAGAGATTTTTTTTAATTTTGATATTCGACCTAGAAATTGGTTGAAGATCATTGCAGACCCTCCACCCCATTGCACAAAAGCTAGATTACACCAGGGGAGAAAATACTCTGGACTACGATTTTAAATAAAGATATACAGTAGATTTTGAAACTGACCTGTGACCTAGAAAATTAGTCCAAGGTCACTCTTCATCCTCTATCCACAGGCTCTCTGTAGTTTAAGTTTGAGAGAGAAATATGCACAGAACAAGTGATATCAGATGGAGTGATGGGTAGACACTGTCTTAGGGCATCTACAGAACAGGACCTAAAAATAATGCAATATATATCATAATGTATTACAGTATATATACACATGTACTTGTATGTTAATGATTTATCATATGCTGCATTAGACACATATGATTTTATTATGGTTCAAGTATACATGTATCTTATGAGTAATTTTATACCGGTATTGCATGTATGCTCAGTTTATTTAAGAAATAAATAACAAATTTATAAACTTCAATGGGTGAGATACCACAAATATATATATAAACAAGTAATTTAATTTTTTTTTTTTACATATATTGACCAACATTATTTACATCCATTCATCATGTTCATGAATTGGCTGATCAAAATTCAGTCAGTTTTAGATCTATATGATATACCATAAAGGACTTTTACATTTACAAAAGTTATTCCCCTTCGCAGGGTCGATCTAGGGTCAACCGGCTTTAGACGCTGTTTTCCCTCTTTAACCGTATCAACGTTGAGGGACAATATCTTAGAAATAAAATCTGTATGAAAATATTCATTATTATTTTCATGTTGCCCCCATAATCTGGCAATACAGATACAGATCGTAATTGTCCAATATTTTTGAAGATTGAAAATATTAACAAGTAACTTACAAAGGACAAAGTGGGAAAAATGAGTGATACGCCGACAATTGGAGAAAACTTAGGAATGTGAAATTCGTCTATTGGTGATGACAATTCCTGTTTTAATGTCACTGAAAAATTAAAAGACATTAAAAATTTAAGCCCTGATTGTCATACATGCATGCTGTTTTTCATCCATATAACCTTTTAGTATCATAAAATTTACCAAAATTTAATACTTCAAATAATTTCATTGAATATCTATAAAATAAAGGAAACTCTAACAAGAGACCCAGGGGCCACAGCGCTCACCTGAGCACATCAGCTAGGAAAAAACACATATCAGATCAGACCTGAAATTTAACTTAAGTTGGGGGGGTGGGGGGCTTGAATTTTAACCTTAAAGGGATCATAATTTGAACGAACTAGAATCTACATTACCTGAGGATGACTCTATACAAATATAACATCCTGATTTAAAAAGGTTTCCCTATATATTTCTATGTAAAACTTTGGTCAGCCATTTTGGCCACACCCTTACCCCGTGGTCATGACTTGAACAAACTTGAATCTACACTACCTGAGGATAATTTCACATGAGTTTCATCTTTCCTCTTTCAATGGTTCTTGAGAAGAAGATTTTTTAAGATTTTTCCTATATATTCCTATGTAAAACTTTGATCGGCCATATTGGCCCCGCCCTACCCCCGGGGGTCATGACTTGATTAAACTTAAATCTAAATTACCTGAGGATGATTCCACATGAGTTTTATCTTTCCTGGCCCACTGGTTCTTGAGGAGAAGATTTTTTAAGATTTTTCCTATATATTCCTATGTAAAACTTTGATCGGCCATATTGCCCCCGCCCTACCCCCGGGGGTCATGACTTGATTAAACTTAAATCTACATTACCTGAGGATGATTCCACATGAGTTTTATCTTTCCTGGCCCACTGGTTCTTGAGAAGAAGATTTTTTAAGATTTTTCCTATATATCCCTATGTAAAACTTTGATCGGCCATTTTTGCCCCGCCCTACCCCCGGGGGTCATGACTTGAACAAACTTGAATCTACACTACCTGAGGATGATTCCACATGCGTTTCATCTTTCCTGTCCCAGTGGTTCTTGAGAAAAAGATTTTTAAAGATTTTTCCTATACATTCCTATGTAAAACTTTGATCGGCCATTTTGGCCCCGCCCTACCCCCAGGGGTCATGACTTGAACAAACTTGAATCTACACTACCTGAGGATGATTCCACATGAGTTTCATCTTTCCTGTCCCAGTGGTTCTTGAGAAGAAGATTTTTAAAGATTTTTCCTATATATTCCTATGTAAAACTTTGATCAGCCATTTTGGCCCCGCCCTACCCCCGGGGGTCATGACTTGAACAAACTTGAATCTACACTACCTGAGAGTGATTCCACATGAGTTTCATCTTTCCTGGCCCAGTGGTTCTTGAGAAGAAGATTTTTCCTATATATTCCTATCTAAATCTTTGATCAGCCATTTTGGCCCCGCCCTATCCCCGGGGGTCATGACTTGAACAAACTTGAATCTACACTACCTGAGGATGATTCCATATGAGTTTCATCTTTCCTGGCCCAGTGGTTCTTGAGAAGAAGATTTTTAAAATATGCCACCAAATTTTCATTTATTCCCAATTATCTCCCCTTGAATGAGGGCGTGGCCCTTCATTTGAACAAACTTGAATCCCCTTCACCCAAAGATACTTTGTGGCAAGTTTGGTTGAAATTGGACCAGCGATTCTTGAGAAGAAGTCGAAAATGTGAAAAGTTTACAGACAGACGGACAGACAGACAGACGCCAGACAAAATGTGATCAGAAAAGCTCACTTGAGCCTTCGGCTCAGGTGAGCTAAAAACTTAGTGACTTGCAGAAATTATTCATTGGAGAGAAAAAAATCTATCATATTTCATATAAATATGTGCATAATGAGCCTTTTTTATGCATTTAGAACATATGGTATGTGCCTCATTTCCCCAAGAAATTTTCAAAGACAATGGACTATCTGTAAGCAGAAATCATTGCTGTTTACTTACATTGGAAAAATTTATGAAAATAATTAATTACCTATTTTTTTTTATTCTAAATAATGCTAAAAATAATTTAATCTATTAAAAATTATCTGACTGAAAAAATAACATTTTTCATAATCTTAATCTATGGGCAGATCACTCTAACTTCATAAAAGTACCTGATATTAAAGTAGAACTCTTTAGTGTGCAGTTTTTAGAGCTTCCCTTAAGTTATCAAAATACTGACCAGCAAGAAATCAGTTAATAAGCATTTCCTTTTTATACCCCCCGCTTGAAAAGCAGGAGGGTATATAGTAATCGTTAATTCCGTCCGTCTGTACGTCTGTACGTCCGTCCGTCCGTCTGTCTGTCCGTCCGTCCGTCTGTTACGCTTTGGGGTACCCATCTCTTATCCGCAACTCCTCTCATACCACTGAATGAAATTTGATGAAACTTTCACAGAATCTTTATTACATATTGCCATTGTGCACCTCCTATTTTACTTTTTGATCCGACACATATTTTGGGTTTCCCCGCCACAGGAAAACATGGACTTTTTCACCAGTTATAACCATATGGGAGGCAGGGGGTATCATTTAGTGAGCTCATCGCTCACAGTACCTCTAGTTTTCATTCAAATTTTTGGAGAGATCTCAGAGTTTTTTCCTGTTCAATTCAGGTTCAAGACGACAAAGTTTTATTGAAGTGTATGTATTAGAGAACTGATTGTATGTCAATCATAGCAATACACACATAACATGGAGGGGGCAAATTGTTTCAGCCCTAGCTTTTACATAAAACTTCTTGTAGCTCACAGCTGATATACCAAAGTTCAGTATTTAAATAAAATTTAGAATCTTTTTTTTTCAGGCAATTGTCATATACATACTAATCATGAATGAATTACCACTTACCAAATGACCACATCCTGAATCATCATACATTTTCTATGATTTTATCTCACTGGTTTTCTTTTAACGTAACACACTTTTCTTCTCTCTGAAATGATAAATTATGTCCAGGTACTATTGCATTCTAATTTAAACTAATTATGTAATAGCATTAGCAACAACTGGGATGGAAGAAAAAATAACCAGAAGTCTCTGTCGAGACTGTAGCTCTACTGGTTTGTACTTATCAAAAACTGAAGCACAGAATTATGTATCTTAGTAAAGTCTTCTTGTGTGCCAAGTTATTTTGAAATCAGACTAAAATTTAAGGAGGAGTAGTGTTTGCAGACAGACGGACAGCTAGACAGACGGACGGGCGCCGAACGAATTACTATCGCATAAGCTCTTCTGGTGTCTGACCAGTAGAGCTAAAAACAAGATGCGCTTGTGAAACACAGCAACGAAGTTCGAAAAATGCAATTTTTTTTAGCATACAGGTCATAGTCAAGATCACATAATCATTGTCCTTGTTGCCATTTGAAAGCACTTCATTAGTGGAGTATGCATACTAAATATGAAGCCACTATCTCGTATAGTTCTAAAGTTATGGTGAAGGTTTAAGTTGACAACAGACACTCAGACAGACACACAGATATACAGTTATGGCAAAAGTTTGAACATTATAACTTGGTATACATACAGCCACTTTGAGGTATCAAGGGTAAAATTCACAGCACAGCGGGACTGCATTTTGACTTCGAGGGATCAAGGGTTTCGAAAGATCAGGAGTTTGAGAAATCAAGAGCAAATCTGCTTAGTTATATAGTGGAAAAAATCGGGACCGGAGACTCACTTCAAGCGATCAAGAACTTCCAAGAAATTGAAATTCAAGCTATCAAGAGTTACCTGTATATACAGATATAAGAAGCATGTTATTATTTGCAATTTTGACCTAATGACAGCTAAATCTCTTCAGTAAGACAATACCGTGTACATGTATGTAAGAAGTTTTATTGTGCATGATTATTTAATACTTATTTTCTTGATCTTCTCAACTTGAAGTGTTCTGTACTTTATTACCAAGTTTGTAATAAACATAATGAAACATACCCTTTTCCACATCACATCCTGTATCAGACCGGTTCCATGTTCGTTCACCCTAAAAATTTTTCGCCCGATTCCCCGTTCTCCCGATTTTTTGTTCGCCCAGAGTCCGCTCGCCCTAAAACTTGTTCGCACAGGGTCCGTTCGCTTTAATTTAATGAAGAATAAAATCTAATGAATTTCTAATAAAATAAAACAGTCCGTCACTGTATCCGTCAGAGGTTATGCATATGGTCACACCCTATCAGCCATCCTTTAAAATTGTTTTCAAAAATAGGGCAATTCGTAAAAATAACACGGATGTATCCCCCTTAATTAACATTGATATTAATCATCTAATTAACTATAGTTCAAACACTTAGTCATTCAAAAAATCATTTGAATCAAATCGAAAATTAATTTAGACTAAATAAACATTGCTCTTCGAATCAGAATTTGAGAAAAAAAATTCCAAGATAGAGGGAAATAAATAGAAAAAAATGATATACTCGTATGTTAATTTTTACTTCATATATATACAAGTATGTATAAGTATATATTGGGCGAAATATATTTTGGGCGAACGGACTCTGCGCGAACGGACTCCTGCGAACAGGTAGATCGGGCGAACGAACCCGTTACCTATCAGACCTTCGACCAATATCAGCCCTAGGGCCTCTGTCCCTCTGGTTGATATTGGTGTCTCGGGCTAGGATGTGATATGGAAAAGAGTATGTATTATTCGCTATACATTGACCTACTCATGTCAATAACTGAAAAAACTGATAATTCAAGCTTATGATTCATTTGCATTTCTTGACATACTATCAATATTAATTAACTATTAGGCTTTTCTTTTTTTACATCTTCATCTCAACAGGTTAGACATTACAAAAAAAAAATCTTTTGAGCAGTAAACTATTTCAATAAACAATAAAACAAACCTAATCTCTTCAGAAAAGTGGACAGGCTTTCACCTACATTCCCTTTTTTATATATATTTTTCCTCCATATCATCGTCATGCGTATGATTAAGGGTTATGCTATTCGCTACAATCTATTCCAACTGTTCTGATGAGGATATCCTTCATGAATAATCGGATAAGCTGAGATTGAAGACACTTTTTGTAAAAATATCGATGCTTTTATCAAAGTTTTGAACCAAAAATATTTAATTTATACCTTGCCATAAGTCGTAAGTTCCAAAAAACAAGAGTTGGCTTAAAGATCCGAAAACTTGGCGAAAAGTCAGAAAACACATGTATTCAAACCGGATGTTCTACAGTCTGAATTTAACTACGAAACCATGCTCGGTGTAACTATATCATCCGGATAATTTAAGCGGGGTTAAAAATATTTTTTTTTAATTCCGAAAAGTATTCATTTATATATAGAGAGAGAACATACATATGGAGCATACATTTTAATAAACATGATAAGAGGCGAAACGTTGCCATTTTACAACATTGTGGTGAAATTGCATATGTAAATAAGTCCACTATGACCTTTCACCCTGACCTCATAGCCATCCACCCGTGCCGGCACGATTCCTACCTCAGTCGAGAATTACCAGTCAAACCCTTCACCACGTTTTCCTGCTTTGTCTTGTTATATTGTTGCATGTACCTGTGTTTACTTACCATGTAAACCTGGGTATTCGTCGTCACCTTTGATTGTAAGGTAGGCGACATTTATTCATAGTAAAATGCTATAATTTTACTACATTGGCGTTGCCGGTAATTCGGAGCGGGGCTTATTGAATTTACATGTATTTTATTTGCAACAATTCACGTGTGAGTTTTCACCTGTGAATAGAAACACAGGTGAAATATTTTGCATTTAGTCATTTTGGAATTTTAGGAAACTGTTGCTTACAGGCGTTATAATTAACGTTATTTGCAAAGTTCAAACAATTTGACTAATTTGCCATGTTTTTTTTTTCACTCGTGATTCGCATTTGAACACGTGGTGATATCACGGTCCAATTATTTTTGTAGTTTCATTTTTCATTAGCATTTAGTTTTATATTTTCATTAGTATTTAGTATTATATATTCGTACAGGCGTTTTTGTAAACGTTAGTACAAAAATTTTGAACATTTTCATTGTTTTGTGCAAATTTACGTTTTTTTTTTCTCGACTCATTCATGAATTTTGGTCACTCGTGCCGCAACGATTGAACTTTATCCTAAATTGTTTATCTATTTCATATTTTTGCACGAAACAAATAGTTTTTTTTTTTTTATTGAAAAGTTATTGTCACTCGTGTTGACAATTTTCGAGGAGCGCCGTTTTCTTCTCGACTCGTCATTTAATTAGGATTTAGAGTTATCATATATTTCTTTTTTTCTCTAAGTTCCCTAAAAAATATTTTGGGGGAAAGTAGAGATATATTGTGTTTTTGATATTGTATATTTTTGTTGTGTAGTTTCACAGAGCTAGTTCACGCAAACCGGTTTACCTTTAAAAGCTAAATTTAAATCGAAGCGCACGTGCTTCTCGCTCTAACATTAGACTAGACTGATTTTGTAGTGTAACGGCTTTACATCTTAGCTCTGTGAAATAACAGTTAATCTAATTGCAAAAGTATAATCAATTCATATACCATCATCAATTGATTATACAATTAATTATTTAGCTTATCTACAAACTCTCGTAACATCAATGCTTGTTTCTACCGTCGTCTGTCATCGGGCGTTTACATTAATAACGTTGTAAGAGTCTGGCGGTGATTAAAGCAAGATATAAGTTAAGTTACAGATTAATTAAGTTTAGCTAAGATTAATAATAGTTTAAATAGCTTACGGACTCATCCCGAATTCAGACCCAATATTTTATCAATAGAAGATCCAATCAACGAGAAATACAGATAAAAAACAGCGTAAACAATTATCAAAGATAAAGAGAGGATAGAAAGAAAAGCAGATAGAAAGAAGAGAGAAACGTCAAACTAAAACAGCAGAAACTTTACTGTTGAAAACATTTACTGTTGAATTAAACCGGCTTAGATACAATTATTTATTGTGTTAAAGTAACGTTTAATTCATCAATCAACCAGAAATAAAGACAACATCGTAAAAAGTTATTAGATAAAAAGATAGAGAGAAAAAATAGACGCAGTCTGACAAGTAAAATTACCAGGACTATACCAAAGAATTAAACCGGCTTAAGATACAATTATTTATTGTGTTAAAGTTACGTTTAATTCAAATCACGGTGACTTCACGGATATTGTTGTAAATCAGTCACGTTAATGTGTAGTAATATTTTCACCGGCGGTTTCGAGATCTTTACCGTAACGTGGAAATAACGCAATACACACATTCACTGACTGAATATTTCAGTAGTATCAAACGGCGTGATTTATTTCCGTAACTTTGAACTACTGAAAACAACAAGATGAACCCAGCTATGACACCATGTACAGTACCTCCTGGATACTATGGTGGACCATACATGCCATCTCTGAACCCAGGTCAATGTGGGTATCCTTATCCCTGTACAGCAGTCCCTGGGAGCTATCCAGTACCATTTCCTGGATATGGTGGACCATTTTCACAGCCATTCTATGGACCACCACAGCCATATCCCAGCATACCTTATGCATATGGCCCTTATCCCGGAATGTTCCCACCTGGATACATGGTACCACAACAGGCATACCCACAACCATTCATGTATGGAGGGCCACCAATGCCAACACCATCAGTTCAATTACTGGATGGAGGAGCTGTACAATGCCCTGCTATGTCAATTAATGAAATTCCCGACACCCAGGACCAGGAGCTACTAGCAACATTGAGACCTGGAGATGCCAGCACCTGTGCATCAGACCTGCCTGCAGCAGTACATCAACAGCATCAGCAGCAGCCAACATTTACTGCAGCAGTGAACCAGCAGCAGCAGATGCCCACAGTTACCTGCAAGAGCCCACCAGGGTTTCCACTGATACCAAGTGGTGATATATCACCTGCTGGTATACAGTGGAACATCATGGTATCACAGGATGGTCTCCATGTTCCTGGGATTTCAACAACACCAGACATACAGGACAAAGATAATTCTGAAGGCAGTTCATCTGAGTTATGGCCACTGAGTAGTGAGCATTCAACTGCTGGTTGCCAAACAACTCCAGATGCTGAATACACCATTAACTGCCAACAATTACTGGACCTGACTTTAGATGCACCGGACTTGACTGTCAACACACAGCCTTCTAGGAGTGATCCTTCGCCTGAGCATAGCAACAAGTCAGTTGTAAATGCTCAGGCATCCAGCAATTTACAGGATTCCTCCTACCAAGAGCTGGTAACAGACGAAAAGGGAACAGCAACCTCTTCACTACAGGATCCAATTCATGATGAGAAGATTAGTGAAGCGCTGAATGCTGATCCCACGATGTCTGTACCAGCAACGACTGTGTATCATGACACCACTGGAAGTGACACCACAGATGGCCCAACCAGGTCTACTTGGAATGCGGCCAACAAGGACTTTCCTTTCACCAACTACAATGAGTCTCTTGTTTGTGTATTTCGCTTTGTAGACCTTGGGCTGGGCATTCCATCTTGGCTGCCACTAGAGAATAAATGTTGGGTTGTGCCATGGCCCACCATGATTATGTAGATCATTTGCTGATTAAACCTGAAATGATTTTACCCAGTGTTTACTTATTGACTTAAAACACTTTATAGTTCTAGTACTTAGTATTTAGTACCTAATAGTTAGCAGTTTGCAGTTTTAATAATATTAGTTTTTACTGCAGTCTGACCTTATTTGGATATAATTTATTTATAATTTAAGTAACAAACATTTACACTAGAACTGGTATAGTTAACTCTCAACTGGTCATAGTTGGTCGTTGACTTACTCAATTAGTTATTACAGTATTTAGTTATTATAGAATAATCAGTTTAGATATTTAGCAACTTAAATTTATAGTAAGTCGATGAATTATACTAAGCTTACTAACGTTACCAACATAATTGCTTAATCTTACTATAACTTCCAGCACTATCTACTAGTAGTCATTATTGTTAAGTGATACTAATAGAATTGTCTATAAACATAACATCCAGTACTTCAGTGATTTGTTTACTGTAGACAACTTACTAGTATACCAGTATACATGCATGAAGCTAAAAATATGCACATCTGATAAAAAGCTATAAAATTACACTACTTATAATAAGGAACAGCTAGTCTAAGATATTATTACTACTTCTCTCTTTTAAAAATAAAAGGGAGGGGAAATGTGTAGATTGTAGTTTGTAGGTCTTAACAGCAGTGTAGTTGTAAAGTTATAAACCTGTTGTTAAGTACATGTAATAGATTTGCACCAGAGTCAGTATTTGAGCATTGCTTAACCGTCTTTCAGAATTCAAGTACAAGATATCTATTCAATGCAACTAGCTCAAAGTGTTTATAGTTTATCAAGTCATTGTTAGTATAGTAAATATATTATTAGTTTTATCTAAAGACCCATATACTTTGGTCGAAACCATTAATTGTTATTAATATCAGTGTAAACTACAAAGCAATGCTCAATGCACTTGTGGTGTAAATATGTGCAGTATTAACTATCATAATTATAGTACTAAAAGCTGACAAATACATTAGTAAGCATTTACTGTACTTATATCTATAACACTTGAGATTTTAGTAAGAAGTTAGATGAATTAGGCAGTATAAGAATAGCCATTACTATTTTGGAAAGGTTGTAAGCATAGTGAATATCTTAGTATCATTATTGCTCAATCAAAGCAGATTAAATGTTAATTTAATTAGTACAACTTTATTTAGTACTACTTAAACTTTAATTAGTTACTTCAGGTCAAATCTGGGTGAAGCATATTCAGGCAGTATATAAAGTCAAAATACTGCAATGATCTATTCTGTTGCATGTCCTTGACACAGCTCCTAAAGATGCCCAGCATATACTCCTACCAGGACTGGTGTAATCATGCAACCTATGCTTTCCGTTGGATATACCTGGCTGATATCAGTGACGGTATATCATGTCGGATCGCTTCATGTATATAGGCACTGCTTTCCGTCAGATACCCGGCTGACCATTCTCAGTGACGGTATTGGGCTGGATTGCTTTGTATATAGTTATGTCATACATTTTCCATATCATACCTGGCTTACTAATTTTAGACAGTGACGGTACTGATGCGGAATATGTTTTGCAAATACTTTTTCATTAGTAGTATTTCATAGGTTCTTCTATCAATAGTCAGCAAATATTCTTCAGTTAGTTTAGCTCTTAGGATAGGCAATAAGAAATTATACTTAGTTTAGGTTAGGCTTAAGTTAGTATAAGTTATATAGTACTAGTATTAGGCATTGTCATATTTAAGGTGACGACATACTTAAGAAGTTAATCGTAATATATATTAAGTTAATTATTAGAATACATCGCAAAGTTAAGTTAATTTATCTGTCATAAAGTTCTAACATAGGCTGCACTCCGGCACAATATACTGTAATTAGGTAAATCAGTTGTATACATGATTAAGTTATACTGGTACAACTGAACCTCACTCGACTAAAACCATTTGTCATGAAACCATTCAGTTACAGGACTTTCATGGAAGTAGGTCAGTGTAAGGTCATAGGTAGATTCGTTTTGACTATGAATTAAGTGTTAAAATATAGAAAATGCATAACAGATAACATGGAATATGTATGGCTAAATTAATATGATCATTTGATCCAGTGTGGAAGATGCATGCGGAATTAATTCGCAAATCATTGAACCAAATTCAATCTTGCCACATTATAATTTACATGTTTATCCTGCGGAACTAAGGCGCTAGAAGTAATTCCGGCCAAGTTCATGTGGATACATGAATTAGTTCATACGTTTTCCATGTTGTATTAAATAATAATTATACATTTCTGGTTTACATTCCTCTTAATAAATTACAGTAATTGCCCTTAGCTTTATTAAATAAAACGGGGAGGAATGTGGTGAAATTGCATATGTAAATAAGTCCACTATGACCTTTCACCCTGACCTCATAGCCATCCACCCGTGCCGGCACGATTCCTACCTCAGTCGAGAATTACCAGTCAAACCCTTCACCACGTTTACCTGTTTGTTCTATTGTTGCATGTACCTGTGTTTACCTACCATGTAAACCCGGGTGTTCGTCGTCACCTTTGATTGTAAGGTAGGCGACATTTATTCATAGTAAAATGGTATAATTTTACTACAACATACAGCGTGCACATGCACGGTGCCTTTGGGCCCTCCGTAATCTAAGTTATGTTATATCACTGTCTCAAATTTTTTTCTCTCTCTCTCTCTTTCTCTCTGACACACTTAACAATTTAAAACTTAGGTATCCAACTTTTCAAAATGGCGTCAGAACAAAAGTTGCCGCCGATAGTGAAGATTTGTTGTTGCCAAGTATTACAAGTTTTTTTTTTATTACTATTTACCGTAAAAAGTTAACAAAATTATACGTACACTAATCCCTCATCGTTGGCCATTGCATTTATCACAGTCTGGGATGGTGAAACCATCTTAACTTTTCACATTTACCAACTGCTTACACCTTCTTCTTCGTCCTTCTCGATCCTCCAAAAATGGCGCCTCGGGAAATTGACCAATGAAATAAAGCGCCTACAGAGCGATGCAGGATGGGAAATATAAAGTGTTTACATTCACTTGATTAAGTGTGATTATGAGATCTTATATTAGAATTTAATTAAGTTTTCCCCTTTTCATGGAATAAAAAGAGGGGCTCCTAAATATTTTTGCCGATATGATGTGTAGGCCTAGTATATTTAGAAAAAAGCGGTTAAATACATGAGGCAAGAGCAGAAAAAAAAATGTTTCTTGCTTGACACCTCAACTTATTTGCCTTCGGGATATGGGTTTCGGGGCTTGGTTGTTGGTAGTGGCCGTCCTTGCTGAAAGTAACCCCCCCTCCCCGCTTCTTTTAACTGTTACATTTATGATTATGAATTTATAATGTCACAACAAAAAATGTTAAATTTTTAAAAGCACATTTTTTTTCAATTGTGAACTTTCCACATGAATCCCAAAAGGCATGAAAATGAGCTACAATTATAATATGATTATCAAGAACAGTTTTTTTTTTTAAATTTCAACAGTGATGATTGAAAAGTTCGGTGATTAATAATTTATTGCTAATAAATTGTTGTGTTTTTTTTTTTTGGGGGGGGGTTAAATTACTAATTGAACTCCCTCCTTTTCGGGGTTTAATTAGATTTTGAGCCTGCTATCAATATTACTGGTGGACCTGCTAGACTTTTCTCTAATTGCTACATGTACATTGTACTTTAAACTCCTTGGCCTTTAGCTAAAAAAATTTCCCACATCATTTTAACACGTAAAATTGTTAAATGAATCAGAATGTTAAAAAACCTTTTCCTTAGGAGAGTTGTATCTCTAGGTGAAACAAAACTAACATCTTATCAAAGGCAGGAAAATATAACAGTATTTTAATTCAGTATTTTAGTCGTGATTGGTATAGGTGAAGTCATGGGAAAGATTATGTCGAAAGTCATCTATACTCGTTGATGTGCAGGGCTGTACTTATGCATACAGCTTTAGCTGGTCCCGCCCTGTATTTCTTTAATGTTTTTTTTTTTCGTTAAGAATTCTGGTAAGGTATGCTAGTAAAAATAAAATCCCGGTTAGTTTATTACTCTAAGGGAAATTACTTTCCTACAGGCCTGAAAATGGAGTCTATTAGTCACACAAGTTTGTTTTTTTTTTAAAGAGTAGCATGTCGGCGAATAAAAATAAAGTAGTGTACAATATAGATAAAGAAATGTTTGTTGAAGTATTGACAAACTTCATACCTTTATAGAATGAAATCAACAAAAACTGCACAAAAATACAATCGTGACAATTATACAATGAATTAATTATACAATGAATTCTTTTAATAGATTGCCTTAGCATGCACTACTTTAAAAGCCATTGTTCTTAAGGAAAACAAAATCATGCAAAATACTATAGACTTTTCTTTATCTAGAGCAATGGCCTTTGGAGAAAAAAAAATGGCTGAAAATTTTAAAGTTTCTTAAATATCATGTAAGTGCATTTAGGACCCTACATTGTAATTTCATGCGAAAAGTGCAGGCGTTTATACTACACGGGGATCTGCGTACATATTTAAACAAAAAAAAAGAAAGAAAAAAAAAACGTTTTATTTGATGAATTATACTATAAACATTTATCTAATAAATGTCTTTGTAGTACGTTAGATTACAAATTTCACACAAAAACCCATTAACAATATTAAATACAGTTTTGATTTCACATTGATCTATTAACGTCATTCTGATTTAATATAATTATACACGACGAGAATTAAAATCTATTCAATACCTATAGAAAATAATTTAATTTCTAAAGAGGATTGTTTTATTTTAAATCAGTAATGAAAATTGAAATAAAAATTCTAAATAGTTTGCTCTGTAACGTGTAACCTAATAAAGGGTCCGTTTTCAGGGATACAGGGTCCAATATATATATGAAT